CGAAGACGAACCAGACTAGTCCAGGGAGCTGTATATAATATTCACACAAACACACACACACAGAAACACACGCACATGCACACCGACTGATGCGGATTGCTAGCCAGACGAGCAAGGGAATCAGCACAAAACAGTGAGGGGTTTTCGAGCCACTGGAAAGGAACTGGGAGTCTAACACAGAAATGGATTTCTATATCTAGAGCTTTTGGTGTGTGTGTGTGTGTGTGTGTGTATATGTGAAGATCTGGACATTATGAGAAGATGGAGTGCAGGAGCAGGGAATGGAAAATCCGGATCTGTCGTACACAACGAACATTTCCACTACCGTTTCGGATCGGTTTGCTTGGATGGAGGTGGAGTTGTTGAGCTGGATGAATCGGGCGATTTTGGCATTCCGAATGGTGTAGTGGTCGTTTTAGTGGCTGCAGATGACTGAGTTTGATCAGACTGCATCTTCTCAGTAACCGGGGTACTATCAGTGTTTGCAGTAGTCGCTGTTTTCTTCGCCTCCTCGACGAGTTCCTGAGATTTCACAGTTTCAGCCAACTGTTCATTGTCAAACATTTCCAGAACACGTTTGATTTCCTTCGAGCTGAGTTTCACATTCTCAGCGCCGAGTAATTCGATGACCTAGAGAGAACACAAGAGTACAAACATGTGAGCGAATATTTAACATACAAACTGGGCGATCAACCAATAGCCAGAACGATTTGTCTCACTAGCATCCAGCATGGAAAAGTAGCAAATAGCAGAACGCCAGTAAAACAACCGCAATGAGAGTGAACAACACAACCGGCTGGATACGTGCATTCAAAAGCCACAAAGACAGGAGACATCGAAAGTCTATTTGTGTGTAAGATGATTTCAAACAATGATTGAAAGTAAAATGACTGATGCTGGTCAGATGTGAAAGTTGATGAGTATAATAAGCGATAAACTTTGACGTCAGAATTCAGCTTACACGTGGAACCTAGTTTACCCAGTTAATATTCTCTAAAAGCAAACTAAAGGTGGCTGAAACAGGGTTAGTGAACGCACTGAATTTTTTTATTACACAATATCGTGTGATGAACAGCAGACGGGGTAAACCCCTCAGTCATGAGGACCTGCCGTTTAGTGATGGTAACCGGTAACCTGATCCCCGGGACTTGGAGTGGCGAACCACATAAGGCCGCGATAGGTCAGGCGCGGTACAAAACCGGGCGATAGCAAATATGTCTACCACCGAAGTTGGGTGACGATGGCGGGGCTCGAACCTCGAACCATAGGGTCTAAAGCACACTTGTGACAGCGACTAAACCACTGCGCCATTAAGTAAAAAAAACCAATTAGGGAAGGGAAATTGTCGCACGCAGGAATAGGAATGCTTTTTGGTTGATATACACCCAGCTGCGACTGACTTGCATCGGACGCATGTCAAAGAAGTGATTGGGTAGTGCAACTAATTCTTCCTGCAGTTCGCGAATAAACGAACATCCAAATTTGCTAGGCCTATTTAGGCTGACAGGAAAACACCTATCGTTTGCTTTACCTGTGTCTGAGTTCTCCATGGTGATCTGTAGTAATGCAGGAGGTGCACAGAATAAGTTTTGAAAACGTTTCGATCGCTAAGCCACGGAATCGGGAATGGACAGCAAAGACTGGCTAGATCAGAACACCCCAACGAGAAAGCGATTGACCGTATTGTGCTGGTTTTTGAGCCTCCATGACCTAGTGAGCTGCAACGAATCTAATCATACCTGAAAGGTCAACGAGTAGAGGCCAGACAAAGCCCATGAAAATTTTAAGGGGAACTGGTTGCATGAAAGCTCAGAAAGTCCACTGGTGCAAATCAGCAGATTCAAAACCCGCGGTGAGACAATCAATGTGATCTGAAATTGTCGAAAAACAACCACAATATAAGGGGGTGTGTGGGTGAAACGAGAAGGGTTATGAACGCTCACAAGCACTACCGAGACACTGGATGGTAGCAACAAACAGAACACGAGCACAACTGAATGAAAGATCGGGCGATCAAGATCGACGAATAGGGAGAGCCGATCATGAGCATACAGATTGAAACCAACAAATGACGATGATGACGTGGATGGGGCGCGACGGAAGCCGACAACAAACACCGCTAATAGTGAAAGCTAACCTGTTTGCGAAGCTGGAATAGGATTGATCGTTACAAAATACGCATTCGCATGTGTGCACATATGCACACAAGTACACGCGAGTGACAAGACGTTCAGATATAGGTCAACGGGAGGGAAGGGGGAGGGAGAATGTGAACACGACTAAGCGATCCCAAAGTAGAAATATTAGATAACCAAGTAAGATGAGATAATATTGTAAGAATAAACAGGCCATCTTTCGCACTGTTTATATGGTTTCAGCATTCTCTAGTTCCAACAATTGCTTTCGAATGATTAAGTGTTATTACCTATCGTGAACACGAGTAGTTACTGGAATAAAGCTTACTGCTGGGAAAGCTAAATTTACATCCTGATTCATTTGATGCCACTCCAAGCAACTTGATGTGGGAAGGGGAAGAAGTAAAGCACATTAGGAAACTAAAGCCTTGCCAATCTAACACAGTTTTATTGATGCAAAAGACTTTGTTGGCTATACCGAAAGAGAGAAAATAGAAAGGAAATCTTTCTGATCAGTTTGTGGCAGATCAACAGTAACGAACGTGCTTCACTGTGGAACATGCACCTCGTGCATACGACAATCTGCGGAGAAAACCGCACCCACACTACATACATTTCCATCGTAAAGGCATTCCGCTGGGGGAAATCTACCGATAAGTGAAGATAACCGCAACGCAAACACTAATCTCCGGAACGTTACCGAACAACATAAGTAAACCTCGGAGCTATCAACTATCGCGCTCCGAGCACAATCAATCACATAAAAGACCAGATAGACTGGTCACAATTTATAACAGCTCCCAACAAATCTTCTTTCTCTATTTTACGCTTTGGTAACAAGAGATTATTATCCCTTGGTCGCTGTTCATAGTTTTTCCCCGTTGTTGTGATACCGTTCAAATAGACAGACGTTCTATCTTTCCTGAACACATTATGTTCCTCCACCAGTATGACGATCATGCTTGAACACAATATCCTAGGCGGACGAGAAACATAATTTTGTTCAGGGTAATAAATTGGGCGTTTTTCGCGCTTGACGGTGGTAACCAGCCTGAACACCTTACCTGGCCTTATTGACTGTGTTTAGGTACTGAGTTGCAAGTTTGAACTTCTGGGTTACAGTGAAAACCAAATTTCCTAAAGCGAGATATTGCAATCGGAATAGGTTGAGCAAGCGTGTGAACTCTGATTGCTACCAGTCGATACTTGATTCCCTTCGGTTGCATCAGTTCCAGTTTCCACAACCAGTAACCATACAACTTCGTGCGCGGGTTTTGTTTGTTGCCTCATGACGGCACATTTGGAACACAAGCAGTTTGACTTTATATTGCTCTTATAAGTGTTTCGTCTCAGTAGGATAAAGCAGCGTCAACCAAAACGCGGCAGCATACACTCAGCCCTGCACGATCAACCAAAGTTCGCGACGGTGTTTAAGATGACTCAAGTGGGCAAACACCAACCGAGCTAGCGGATACGTTTTGTTATTTGGGCAGCTACATCTCCCTGGTGGACGCCTCACGGATGAAGTATGAGCTCGACCACAGAAGGCTGCGTTGGCATATGCCATTCGTGGTGTCGTCGTGACATCCGGCTGTCTGTGAAGGGTCGAGTATATGCCGCGGCAGTTGAGCCAGTTATGCTGTACGGAACAGGAGAACAGGATAAAGATAGCTATAGGATGCGGAGATTTGGCCATTACGCGAACAGGATAAAAAGAGACGGTCGGGTGTCGCACACCGCTGTCTACACTGCATGCGCACAAGTCCGGTGAGTAAACTGGTCGAGAAATACTGAGGTTAGACACAGCGTTTTCGGTATTCGCGGTCGCCCACTGGAGCAAGTGGTCGACCTCCATAGATTGTTCTGGTTGGGGCATATCATTCGCATGTCACCAAATAGATGGCTACGGCGTGTGCTGTTGGCCGAGGTAGGTGATGGGTGGAAAAAGTAAGGGACGGTCAAACTAAGATCTGGCATGAAAGAAACCTGCTCACGTAAGCTTCCTTGATGGGAACCTCGGGATCATCGCAACCGAGGGTTAGACACTGAGTGTTGCAAGCAGTGGCGCTCGTGTATCTACGCATTATCCTTGCAGTCGTAGTCAATGTGAATTCTCTATCCTCTCTATGACTCTGCTCTCTACATTCCATTTATCCTTCTGCTCTTTTATCCAAATGTGTCGTCATGAGGCAACAAACAAAACCCGCGCATGAAGCTGTATGGTTAATGATTGTGGAAACTGAAGTTTTGACCTGACCACTAAGTATGGTAAACCTAGCCTTGACTCAGCAGCGAGTATCGGTTATCGAAGTAGCGTGAGGCTAACACATCGTGTTGGAACTATTTAAGTTCTGGAATTTTCAGTTTGCGCAATTGTAATATTACGCGGAACAAACAGCCTGCGGTACACGAGTATCTATACTATTCTATAGAAAAGAATTGGCACTTTTATTCATAAACAAACTACGTCTTCGGTAACCCCTTGCTCTCTCTCACACAGACTCTTTAACCGGCAACTTCCCGGCAGTCGCAAAGTCAAATTGCCATTCTGTTACACTGGAGAGGAAACACCGCTAATTTATTTGTTATTAACCGTTAACTATGTGGGAAATTCTATCCTGATAAACGCGCACACACGCACACGCACACACACACATCTTGCTCGCTCTCATCACTAGAAACAGATGAAACTGGCACTCATGGTTGTATCTAAATCGAAGCTGTAACTTGTAGTGTCGTACGAAAGGCATGATATAAGTCAGGTATTCCTATTGCAACTATCTACAACTTACAAGTAGACTTTTATTTATTATAAAATGCAACAATTTCCGAAGTTCGACTAGTAGAGAAGTGCGACAAACGCTGTAGAAGAAACAAACCATCAAGAAGAGGAAATAACATGAACGGACAACGTGAAAATGACTGACCGAACTACCCCCACCCCCGAAAATCACACTACTCAAGCACGACAATAGTGAAGAGAACGTTTGACACTGGACACCATGCACGGACAACAGTTTTAATTAGTTGTTAGTTCTATAACAGAGACCATCATATCGCAATCTAACTAACGTTCATCCCAGCTGGCCTCAAAGAGACAGGATTATTCTAGTCGTTTGTGATCAAAACAAACCTACCGAAAGAACGTGTTGCATTTCAATCTTGCCATCATGGTCTTCGTCGAGCACATCAAGGATCTTTTGCCAGCGCGTATCATCGGGGACCTTTTGAAGACGTCGTAACGCCAAGAGAAGGTCGTTGATATCAACCACCCGTGCGTGATCCGCTTTGATCGCATCTAGAATCTCCGATTTCTCAGTTGGTTCAGTGGAATGCTTGACGTGGACTTCGCGGATCTGATACATTAGTGGGGTAGAACAAACAGGCGCATGGGATGAGACAATGTACGATCGTTTCAGATAGGTCTTCCAGCTTCGCCCTTCCTGAAAATTGTATCATTATGTATTCCACAAAAAAAGTAAAATAAAAGATAAAGAAGCCACAAAAAATATGAACAATCAAGATTTAATTACGAAATTTTCACTTTGACCAATGAGCAGTAAAAAACGAGTGGGATGTGATATTATTCTGTTGGGAGTCGGTTAGAAAACGCGCTCGAGAAAAGATTGGTCCACATGGAAACATTGTTGGGAATGCTGATATCATCATCATTATACACAGCGTACACCGATCACATGACTGAGCATAAAAGGTGCATCCTAATATCAATCACAGCGAATGTGAAAGTACAAGCCACCTGCTAGTTCCATTCATTTGCTCCTAATCAGAATGCTTTCAGATGACTTTGCGGTTTACACAAAAAGATGTTCGAAATTTGTCTGTGAATAAATAACTGATTTTCAGTGTCGGATAGAAAACAATTGGAAAAGTGAAACCGGTCGACTTCATAAGATAAATTCCATTGATTAATGATTTGTTCATTTGTTTACTTTTTCTAAAACTGAAGGGTGATTCGTCGATATTAGTTGTTGATGATTTGACCAACCGATTTGACGTGTAGTCTAAACACCTAGAAGAATAAAGTGAACATTACGTTTCGACATGCCATTCGTCAGTGGAATGTCTGAAATAAATCTGACACTCAAAACGGCATGTGAAACGTGCGGATGGTTTTGATGATGAAGTTTCACCGAAAGATACTTACAGGCAGTTGTTGTTTACCATGAATCGATAACGAAATAACACCAAAATGTTTTAACATGAACCTTTGTTTTTATTGGCAGATGGTAAATGTTTGGAGAGATGGGGAACAATGGGCATTAGTCTAATGAAATATAACCGTCCAGACAAATAGGCGAGTTTGACAATGTACACCTCAAAACAACGTTTACCTTACTGATGTCTCAAAGTACGCTACTGCAAATACCAAGACTTATATCACCGGTTCCCTAAATCGAGCAGTAGGATCTTATCTCGTCTACCGTTCCTCACATAAAGGTCGGACATGAATCAAAAACACTGGTCATATTCCAGTACTCAGCCATGAAAGCCTCGAAAACAACGGGCAACTGTCTCCTGTGCACAGAATCAACCAAGCAGCCTTGTGCGCTTCGGTGGGGCTTCAGAAAACACATAAATGTGGTATTCGGAATGCACACCAATGCCCGATGCAACGGTCGATCAATGGAACTAAGATATTCATTGGGTGTCATATATTTAAAACGAATCAGAGATTCAATTCTGGAAAATAGGAAAAAGATGCACAGCATATTGAAACTTCAATAAACTGGGTGAATTGGCTGCCTGTGCTCGCTACGATCAATTATATCTGGGGAAAATCACAAAGCCGTAAGGAAGTAACAACGAATAATGGTTCGCTAAGCTGTGATAATAAATTTTAGTACACTATCGCAATGTTTAACTAACTAACGACAAATACATATAGTGCAGTCAATAGTTAAGAATCTTTGGTCGAAACCAATTAATGAGCTTTAAGCATTTTCAGCCAAGAAGAATCCTAAACTAGTTTCTCATCCTAATCCAAAACTTCTTATCGTGAAGGGCAAGGTTAAACAACAAACACCACTTTGATCTCTTATTCCGGATTCGAAAAAGTTCTGACCGAATGTGGTTTACGTAAATCTATCCGTAAATGTGACCACTGGATCCAGATGTAATCTGAACTAAGCCGAAAACAATCGTCATCCAACCGGAAGTCCTGAGGACGACATAAACCGACAGATCGAATTCCACTGTGAAACACGTGAGCGCTAGGGTTCACATTATGCGAAGTCAAGGTAATAATGCAACACGTGACAGATGTTTGTGTGCTGAAATGAATATGTAGTCTAGCCGTAATGTGTGGGCGTGTAACAAACCGGTGGAATGACTTCGCATTCCGACTTTGACTTTTTGCTAATCTGACTGCAGAATGTTTCAATTACTGAGGAAATTTTATTACTGGTTCATTTAGGCGTACAGATGCACTCGGCTTGTCAATAAATGGGAAAAGACGGTTTTACTCATGTTGCCAAAATAAAGAAAAATAAGATGTAGTAGTAAATACAAAGAAAAGCGCGAATCAGAGTAAGCAGCATAAAACAAAATCACTCGGCTTTTGTGAACATGTGGCTTGAGGTAGATGACTACGGTATATTTAGTGTTGCCGATCGACAACAGATGAGACCCTACAAGATTGGAACTGCTGTACCGTGCCCCCTTAACTTACGGTTCACGTTTCCTTGGCTCTGCATACAATGAAAGCTGCCATATGGTAAACACAACGCTGAGAAACTTAAGGAGCGAATAAGCTTTGAACTGTTCGTTTATCCAAAAGCACTTGAGATCATAACATAAACAGAATAGGAACAGTATAGGAAATCGCATTTTAAACGGATTGAATTTCAATCTTGCCGACAACTGTAAGACCAATAAAACCGTGGTTCATCAAAGTAGTGGAGAGAGAGAGAGAGAATAGACCAAAAACGTAACTGACGAAGACAGTTTGCGACAGCATCATCAAAATCAAACGTGAACTTGCGCACGCAAGAATGAAAAACAAAGCTGAATAATTTAGCGCCTCACTTACAGTTCGTAAGTATTTATGTATGTAAGGACTGTTTACTGAGAAATAAAGGTATTTAAGTTTTTTTGGTACGACTGTACATGTACAACCGACTGTATCCAACCCCACTTTGGCTAAAGCAATTGGGCAGAGTAGGTATCTCACGCCTTACAGGTTAGGGCCCGAAAGACTCTGCAACTTGTTGGTTCGAGACATGGAAGTGTATGGCAGCGAACCGACAGTAGTGGCGTTCTTTTTGTGGTTTCTTATTAGGCCAGAATGATTGAAACGGAATATACGCACAATTAGGTTGTGTTGACCATGGAGGTTCACCTTCTTCCCTATCGCTCAAAATAGGTGCAATCTCTGTCCACCTCACACATTACCACGAACCTTGTACGCATTGCTAGTTTGGCAGTGATCAGTGAAGTTCGCTTCACTGTATCACTGTGTCTTTTTAATTCTTTTTTTTCATTTATTGAATATACAAATGTACGGTCAACATTCAGGAAGGGGGGCCGCGGCCATACAAAGGCTGTCTGGGAAGATGGGTGGTGGTGGAGCGGTTCGAACCTGGGACTCCCAGGTCACAAGTTGGTGACCTAACCACTTGACCACCATCGCGATTACACATTGGTACTATCCAGTTGAAATGGCGAAGTGGCAGCCTCATTATCGTCTGGTTCAATACCACGCTTAACCTAGTGGGGTCTTGTGTGGTTCACCACCCCAAGTCCTGGGGTTCAAGTTGCCCGTTCACATGAGTGAATAGCAGAGCCCATGAATGAGATTGATGCAATCTGTTGTTCTTCGCACATGAGTGTGTAATAAAAATAAACCGAAATCCGGAATAATTTTCACCTTACCTACTCATATTTGAAATTTCAGGGGTCAATAAATGAACACCTTATATAAGCATTTAGCTTTTAATTTGAGATAGGCGAATTATAATTTCTCACTGGGATTTCTTACTGCTACAACATTGTCTAAACTAAAAAGTGCACTCAGAGCTTTTGCCGAAAAAAGTTATCCATTAAAATTATATACACATGTTCGCCTAGCTTTCACAAAACACTACACATTCGAGGTGAGGTGAAAAGTCAATCCCTAAAAATTATCGTTTTCTGAGCCATAGATGAGGCATAAGTAATCTTACAATGCATAGTTGTCGCCAATGTCTCATTATTCTACTTGGCGGTGGTATCCAAAATGGGCATGGGCTCATCCTTTTTCAAATTCACCTATGATTATCATTCAAGATTAGAACAGCGGCGCGAAAGTAATTGTATTCAAAAACCTATAATATGTGAGCATCCTCAAGAAACTAGGGCTGGTAGATCTCTAGTGGAACAACGCAATCGAAATTCATAATGGCGACCGCTCGGATGTCATATTCCTGTTCAGTGTGTAAACGGAGCTGGTCAGAGATGACGATTTCCTCAGATTGTCAAAATAATAAAGGTGAAGGGAATGGGGCAACAATTGCTAGGATCAGAAGTAACGGTATACTTAAGAATGAGAGACCAGTGTTTCGGGGACTCAGGAAATACGCTGAATTGAAGGGAAAGAAAAAAATTGACTGGAGAACAGGAGGAATCTTGTTTAAAACCGTGACTTTTGGTATGCGGAGAACGTGCTTATAAGAGGATAACAAAAGGTTAGTAAATCATAAACGTGTTTGGAGATAAGGAAGAACAGCATGGTTAAAGATAAAAAGATAAGTCCACGCTTTTGCTTCCTTGTGCAGTTCGGAAACCAGAGCAGCAGAGGGATTTGTGATTGGAGAAAAATCAAAGGGAGACAAGCTACGGAATAATACCTAAGGATGGAACCAAAGTGTTTGGTTCCCGGTGGGAGAGGAAGCCAATTGTGCAGTCTTATGAAAAATGGGACGTCCGTTCGCTTTCTGCATGTTAAGCAAACATTTACTCCGATTTTGGAAAAAGCTATGAAGAGTTTGAAAAGTAAGTGAATGCCACCAATGAAGTAATGCCGCACAGCACGGCAATAGGTACCACCGGGTTTGCAAGGATTAGTACAATGGATGATTAAAAAAATACATTCCTTGAAGAGGAATCTGTGAACTTAAAAAGTGGTAGAAACGTTTCTTCATATTACGAACCAAGACTTTCAATTGGCGCAGTGTACAGTGGACCCCTCAGAGACATCCTGTTAACAAATATTCGAAGAGCCTTCAGTACGGCTGATGATGCAGCAATGAGACTAAAAGGTAAAGTTTGTCTGAGTTGCAAAACCTGCTCACTTATTCTATCTTTCTGTGTAGTGTAAGGCTTGAGGAAAGCACAATTAAATCCCACAATAGAGTTGTGAATTTTGAAG